GTAACAGTGGCTCAACAACCTTGGACGGATATCACGTGTGTATGACTAATTTTCACTCTTTATTTCGCACTGACCAATCAAAGCTTGGCACCACATCGTGTAATCAAAAGTTGACATGGAAAATTACTCCAGGGTATTTGAAATAGCTAGCTTATTGTTTAGGCTAGCCACGTTTTCTTATTTCCCTTTTCCCTTCCGCTTTGATCCGCGAACCTTAGACTTTTATATTTCGCACCACCTTTCAATGACTGTCCTTCTGTTTTTCTTTTTCTTTTTTCGTTTTGACGCCTCCAAATTTGTAGTTGTGGATTGCTCACGTTACATAGTTTAGACAGTCCACGTCCTCTTCGGAACACTTAATGCCTGAAGCAAAGTTGTCTTCTTATGAGACCATTATGAAGTCTTATGAGCATGTGCAGAGTTAGACTCAAAATAAAGTGATCCAAAAGTTAAAAAATGCAACGAAATAAGCCTTGAACGATATCACTTGATCAATGAACTGCTTTTTTATTTCGATCCCAAAAAAGATATTTTTATAAACCCGTGAGTGTAGCAGAGCTGTAGTAGGTTGTATGGTTACAGATATAGGAAGTAATTTTTAAAAGTTTAAATTTACAGGTCAGAGGCAGCAGTAGAAAGTGTCCGAAAGTAAATGCTTTAATCTTTACAAATGATAATAATAATATGGTGGTGTAGACGAAAATAGCGCATAAAAGTCAATCCCAGGCAAAAACAAAAACTCCAATCATAAGCGAGTCTAAAAATGGTCGGAAATTCAAATATAAAAAGTAAAGTGAGGAAGCATTGTTGAGATTTTGAATGGAGGTTTGTCATAAAGGATAGGCATGTGCAAATTATAAGAAAATGGCTAAAATTATCAAAGAAGTTAATTGTGAGGAGTAACATTAGTCATGATATATCAGTGATAATAGGTGATCGCTGTAAAGTTAAAAAGCGCTATATTGGAGGAACGGGTATTTTATACCATATGGAAGCGCTTCACTAATAAGTGATTATAAAAATATGATCTGAGAAGTCCCGCGAAATATATACCGGAAATTTTTCGTATAGTCAGTTAAATAAACTTAGTGAATAATCATGATAAATAAGAGTTTTTGTAATCAATTAAGATAAAAGCAGTCGTGTAATTTTATGAAACCGTCATACAATCTAAAGAATAGATGTAGAGTTCCAATCAAAGTAAAGAGATTCAAGACTTATAACCTCAAAAACTTGTCAGAATTAATCAAGTTAGGCTTTAGCAATCACAGCAGACGATTCAATGCATCGTTTCCCGATAGGCGGTCCCTTGTGTGTAGATGCGATAAGTCGACTGAGCAATAGCCTCAAGACATGGAGTTCAGATCTTGTCTCTGGCAGCCAAGCAGAGTTCTGTTCAACTACTAGATTGGACAGCGCTCCCATCATACTCAAATGTTTGTCATGACCACTTGGCAATTCTTTTTGCCTTTCCTTTTGTTGGCCAATCGTCCCTTCGCTGTCAGTTATTAATTCGTCATTTGAAATAGATGTTTTATTGCTGTATGAAAGTATATCATTTATTGAAGTATTACTTATCAGGTGTTCATATGGGAATGCAAAAAGGTATATAACCATGAGGACAGTAACGATTATCTCGTGATCCAACAAAAGAGGGAGGGAACAAGATGGCTCTGGTCGAATATTAGCTTGCATTGAAAGATGGGAAGCAGCACTAAGGGGGGAGGATTTGACATTTGAGGAAAAAGACGAAGGAGAGTGAAGAGAGTCAGATTTTAGATCCAAGGTGGAAAGGCGGATTTTTTCACCTAGGTCTATGGTAGATGAGCCTGAGGTAAACGTTTTATGGGTTTGATTGGATGCGTGCCAGCCAGATAGGCACTCCGACAAGGGTGTGGGACGGAGGTTTCGAAGGCGAGAGGAAACCATGGCACCGTAGGGTGAACGGAACAAATCTCGAAGAACTAAATGTTGAAAACGTTCTACCGACTTATTTAGCCCATTATTTACATCCTTCGATCGATAATCAACCAGGCAGAAAAAAAAACTCGGCGGTCGCCAAGTTTCCAGTAGGCACAGAAGGTGGTCTAGCGCAGCAATAAACAGAGCCAAATTCGTAGGTCGATATTTAGTATCTTTGGTAGGTAAGGAAACACAAGAGGAAACCGGTAGATGAAGCCAGTTGATCCATTCTTCTGTCATAAGACGAAGCTGGTAGCCAACTGAATGTTTGGTCAAAAGCGACACGGGAGAAAAGTATGCCTGTACGAGCAGAAAGGAACGGCTATACCAGGAACAACGAATAAAAATTTAATTTTCAATAAATAAAATAGTAAAACAATCCAATACAATTCGTAGGTCGTTAATGCATATTGTTTATCCAGTATAAGTGAGCACAGCAAATTGTAAAAGGCTAAGAGGATAAGAAAGATAACGTGAGTAACATATGAAACAACTATCATGCTATAGAAAATTTAGGCTAAATATATATATTGAAGAGATGAAGACCAAGATGTTGTGGCCTCTGGTATGTTCGCAGTCTCCTTTCGATTTATAGAAGTGGGTTGACCTCGTTGTCGCAACTTGGTCTTGTTGTCAGGGCGCTTAGTAAAACGCACCTAGTCCCAAGTCGTCTGTCATGATTCCCAGCATCAGACAGTGGACTTGGTACATTCTCAAACGTTTCGCCGGTATCATCAGTGAG